AGTTGTCTAGAATGGTATTGGACAGCCAGCACCAAATGAAAAAAGTCAATCTTTTTTTTTTTTCCTTTCTGTTCTCCTCTCCTGCCAGCATTTGTCTACTTCCTAAGGGAAGTGAAAGCTAATTAAAGGCTTAAGGGATAATATTGATTGCATTGGAATATATTTTATATGTACCTGACACATTTTCAAGTAAGAGGACCCTGACTTTTTCCAAGGCTGAATAAATCAGCTGGCTGAACCTTTGATTCAAGGGTGTATGTGTGGGGGGAGTTCATCTCTTCCCTTTCCACTTTGCAAGCATCTCTCGCAGTGATGAATGATTTCCAAAGAGGAAGACAGGCTCCTAGAGGCTGTTCATTCACATCTTTGCATACCAGAGAGGAAGAATGAATGATCAGGCATGTCCTCAGGCCTATCATCGACTTGAGTCTGGCTTTGAGTAATAGGCAGGAGGATGCTGGTGTAGAACTTTACACCTCACAGGGCCTGTGCAGGAGGCTGGCCACTGGATAGTAGTCGTTCAGCTGTCCCCAGCATTGAACAGAAGGAAGTAGCTTGCCCAGGTGGAGTGCTGTACATTCTCGGTAGCAGAGCAGGGAATCTGTTTGAACTTCCTTTCTCAGCCAAAGGGCAGCCTGAACTGTGGGGATTCCTGTAAGGTAGATTCATATGGGCCTTGTTCTTAATCTGGAAGCCTGTAGACAGCCAGCATTAGGAGACACCAAACAGTCCCATTGTCATTTGTGGCAAGGTCAGATCTGGAGAAGAATCATGTTTCTAAGTCCCTCTCTCAATGTGTTTGGAAAATTCAGGCTGTGCACATGGAGAAGCTGTCTGTTTTGTCCATGAGTGCATATGTGCTGCAAAAACCCTTTTAAGATTTAATAAAAATGCTTATAATCCCAGTATTCAGTGTATATCACATCTGCTCGCACACAGTGGTTTTCACAGCCTTGTAGTAAAGAGGGGGTCAGTGACGCAGGCTTTGGACATGAAATTTGGATCAACGGCCAAGAGAGCTCCTCCATGCTAGCAGGTGCTGGCCCAGAGCACAGCGTTCATGATGTGATGTCTCTTCTGAAGTAGCCCATCGAGCTCTTCCCTCCCGTTGATGGCCATCGCTGGCCTGATCACTAAGTGCACCACTGTAACAATAACAGTCCATAATGGTCATATTATTAACTGTATCATGCGTATTATTGATTTACTCTTTGTTCTGCATCATTATCCTTTCCCCAATGAGTTTCCTGCATTATTCTCACGTACTTGGTCAAGCACCAAATTACCACGCAAGGGCAGGCTCTTGTAATGGTATCTAATGGAACACTGCATAAGCCATCCTCAGTGCCTCCACCCAGTGCACTTTCCGCCTTATTGCAGTGAGCAACAGAACAATTATGAAGTGCAGGAGACCAGGCCGTTCTAAATTTTATTCAGGAAGTTGCTTCATTGCATGTTCATCACCTGTCCTCATCTCAAAATGCAGCCAGAGGCCCAGCCTCTGTCACTGTCAGCCCGAGTGGGGGTTGGGAGGAGGACAGGGATGAGGGCCGAGCTTGCTACATACAGTGTCTTTGCTAGGAGCCAGTGCTTGCTTCTCTGTGTCGGGTCTTAGCTTTTGATCTGGAGCCACCATTGAAGTACTTGCTTCTGCTTGGGAATTGCCCAGCAAGTAGAAGAGTGTGGTGCAAAGGTCAGATTAGTCCAAGATCCCAAAGACGTTGATATGACTTATCAGTTTTGCAGTTCTGAAAAAGGGGCTCATCTTCCTCAGGGTGGCCATTGTTTCTAGAAACTGAGGTGCAAGGACCAGTGAGATAGCTCAGTGAACTAAGCATCTGCTTAGGCAAGCACAGGACCGGGATTCGATTTCTAGCACCACATACCATGCTGGCCCCACCCCTGGGTGCACTGAGCTGGCCACCAAGCCCCGGCATGATGGCGCATGCCTGTAATCACAGTGCTGGGGAGGCTGAAAACAGCTCGAGTCCGAGCTGCGTAGTGAGATCCTGTACCGAATACATAAAAAAGAAGAAGAAGAAGTTGAAACTGCCCTAGAATAAGCAAGTATTTCCAGCCTCAGACTTCCCTGCAGGAAAATCCCTTTGGCTCTTTTGGAAATCTCAAGCACCCTAAGACAGCAGCCCTTTGGGACTACATGGTCAGCACATGATTTTAATTCCATGGGCATCCCATCCCCATTTAGCCATGAGTAATGCTCACTTACTGTAAAGTGTTACATGCCCCCATTGTCGGAGAAGTTATAGTGGAAAAATGCAAAATTTCCTTTTTACTGCTTATGGCCAGTTGAGCCTATAACGTGTCAAGCCGCACATTAGCCACCCTGATAAAAGTCCGCTTTCTTACACACAAAATCATCGTTTCAGCAAGATTTGTTATCTCATTACCTGATAAGCTCTATGTCATAAACCAAGACTCATATAGTAAATCTCCTGGGAGGACGCTTTGTGGGCAGAAAGGGAGAGATAGGAATCTGCGAGGGGCTTGGTAATGCAGCATTTAAGCGCAAGCACAGTGTCACTTATTGTTAAATGCCTAAAACCACTTGGCCAAATGGTTGGGCTTTTAATAGGATTTTGTGCAGCATCAGGTGAGCAGCCATATGCCTTTTCTGTCTAGGAGCCCTGAGCACCTGCTAGTGCCGCTGCTTTGCCTCACAGCCCTCCAGGGATGGGGTCTGGGCTTTATGAAAGTGGAGGGAGGAGATGGATGCTTCCCTGCAGCTGCTGTGCTTGGTCTGCCTTGCCAGGGCGCGGGGCACGGGGGCCTCACCGCAAAGCCTGGCTTCATCTAACTGACCCCTCCTCTGCAGGCATATTGTGGTCTGTGGGCACATCACCCTGGAGAGCGTTTCCAACTTCCTGAAGGACTTTCTGCACAAGGACCGGGACGATGTCAATGTGGAGATCGTCTTTCTTCACAAGTAAGAGACTGCTGCTGCCACTGAGCCCGCTGCCTGGCTCTGGCCTCCTCTCTGGGGATGGGAGCAGTTGGGGATCAGGTCAGAGTTGCCAAAGCCATGATCCCAGCCAGTCTTCTTGGAGAGGATATCCCAGAGCCATGCTAGGCCAATGATGGAGATGGACCTGAGACTGCATCTCTCAGAACAGGGGTAGAATTTACTGTGGACTCAATGCATCATTTTTGTGCCGGCTGCAATCTGGAGCTGGACAGGAAATGGGTGCCTCAGTTCAGGTCAGGTGAGCCTTATGGTGTGCATGCTTTAGGGTGCAGGAGTAGATCATGACCAACCAGGACAGTGACATAAGAGGAAGCAGAATGCTAGGTAAGCAGAAAGCAGCTGCGCCTCCTAGGAGTCTCCAGCGTGAGACCCTGTGCCAGCCCTGTGTGTACCACTTATTTATTCCACTGTAAGTGCCCACCCATCTTCAGTCTTGGTCAAGTAGTTCAGCCGGTTATTTAACCTCTCCATGTCTTGGATTCCACAAGTCTACCTTGTTGGTCTGTTGTGAGAACAGCATGAGATAATCCATAGTCAGGGTGTGGAGCCAGATAAACATGCAGTAAGTGCTTAATAAATGTTGACTGTGATCGTGAATGATAAAGTAGATTAAGCTGCACAGTCAGTTTAGGGATGTCTTGTCATGTGCGTTTTATAGGGGAGGGATGTGAGGTATCTTCCATACCCTGTGTGGCTAAGGTAGTAAGCTTTGCCTGATCCTTTTTTAAGTAAAAGTCAGTCTGCCACAAGATTGGAGAGAGCTGGGGACTCCACCATCTCAACACAGTGGTGCCATTACTGTCTTCTTTGATGGAAATGAAATTAACATGGGGCCTTGCCCCTGTAGGTTAGCCTTCTCACCACTGACTTCTCCAGATTCTGAGGAGAGAGGCCAGGCCACAGTGCAGTAACAGGACTCACACAACAGATGCAGTGCTTAGCTATGGGCGACGTGTGGTGGGCCAGCACGCTGCTGCAGGACAGTTCTGGAGAGAAGCACGATGTGTGAATTCTTGAGCATTCCAAGCCAAGCACACTTGCAGCAGTTAGAGGACAGCATGGGCCTGCATTGGCCAACGCATGCCAAGATCAGTTTAATCTAGTGGCAGAACCTCACGGGATGTCTCTATGAGGGAGAGACAACATTATCCTCAAAGATACATGTGTCTGACTGACTTGAAAGGCTGGCACAGGCAGATTCGCACAGACAGCCACTCTTCTCTCCCCTACTACTTCAGTTGGAAAGAATTAGCAATCTGCCCATGCCTCGATGCCTGAGGTTCATCATTGTGTCCTCAGTGTCTATCAGCATTCAACTCATGGTAGATAACCTCCTGAAGCCTTGGGTTAATAGCATACCTTCCTATGGGGTTGTTTTGGGGTTCAAGTGAATCATAGATGTCAAGTGTTTAGAATGCTTCCTGCCTCAGAGGAAACATTTAAAAATATTAACAATTATCATCATCATCACCATCATCATCATCACTAAGCACTTAATAAATGTCAAGAAAGTGTTGGCTTAGCACAGTTGCTAGTGTGTAATAGGACACAGGTAAATCTCATCTTCCAGAGTTGACACAGTGTCTGATAAAGAGGGGAGACTGTATTTTTATCTCTGCAGAATTCATAGGTGAATAAATCGGTCGGACACTTGTTTAGTCCTTGTTCTTGAATAAGGAAGGTGTCTGAACAGCTCAGCATCAGGAAGGGTGATGAATACTACATCAATGTGTGAGTCAAAGAATCATACAAAGAGTAACTCAGGTGTGTTTGTGGCTGTGCATTGGTGGTGTTTTTTTTGATCTAGGTTTTGGGGATTCTATAAGGCAAAGAACCGGGAGAAAGACTCTTGGTACAGGTGACAGTTGGATGACCGGACAGGGGAACCTTTGGTTAATACCTCATATTGTAGTTGTCCCGTACCATATAGGGGTTTTTCAGGAAACAATAAGATGTAGATGCAGATATCCCTCTACAGACATGAAGTATAACCACAAAATACACTAAATGCTTAAATTTTTTAAACATTACATAAAAGATATATTACCATTAATATTCTTTAAAATACTTCTCCCCACTTCAAACATGCTTATCCTATTGTTCTTGCCTCTTGAAGTCACCTTTTGCTGTCATAGCTGCCTTGATGGCCAAAATGAATTCAAAATATTTACCATTCACGGTCATTTTGACTTTAGGGAAAATCCAGAAGTCAGACTGTGAAGTTGAATGAATGAAATGGATGAGAACATACTGTAATGTTTTTATGAACACCTCTTAGGTGGTGTTCAGAAGCAGTATTCTTTGTGTTTTATATTATACCTCATAAACATACTCAGAAAAAAGGCCTTGCAGAACTTCTTCAGAAAGTGGCAAGAAAGAAGGAGAGTATTTTGATCAGATTAATGACAATGTTCTTTTTTTTACTGTAGTAAATTTTTTTTATTTAAATATACACTGTATTTTTTGCCCAGCCCTTGTATCTGTCTGTAGTTGTATCTACTTGTCTGTGCAGAGAGAAATTCATGATGTGGTTTTAGCTCACTTGATTTCTGACACTGAAAGTCTCTCAGTCAGCCATCTTTACAGTCAGCCATCTTTAAAGTCAGCCATCTTTAAAATGGAGAACCAGCTGGTGCTGTGACTCAGTCTGAGTCTAATGGCTTAAGAACAAGAGGAGTGAATTCTGTAAATCCTAGTTCACTGGCAGGGGCAATGTAATGAAGTGTCAGCACAAACAAGCAAGTAAGAAGAGAAAGGTGCAGCTTTATCCTTTTTCTTTTTTTCTTCTGACTCATTAGATTGGATGATACTCACTCATACTGAGGAGTAAAATCTACTTTCCTAAGTTCACTGATTCAACCATTAATCTCACAGCCACACCAAGGGATCACTTTGTCTGGGTATTCTAGGGTGATCCAGTCAAGTTGGCAGAGCAAATTAACCATCACAGCCCCTTTCCCAATTTGTAAAACCGGGTTTCCATTGATAAAAAGTGGAAGACCCTGTACCTCATAGTCTATATTTTATCTTGGTACTGGATTTGGAGTGCAGCTGGGCTGGGCTTTCATGTCTCTTAAATGTGAACTTTTTCTTTATAGCAAGAAAGAGGGCTTCTTTGAAGATCAGAGCCCCCTTCAGGCCTCCCTGGAGAAACTCGGGAGAAAGGAGGCCCAGAGGCTGGGATTCCAAGTCTGTTACATTCATGTCTGTCTCTTCTCTCCCCGTGCAGCATTTCCCCTAACCTGGAGCTTGAAGCTCTGTTCAAACGACATTTTACTCAGGTGGAATTTTATCAGGGTTCAGTCCTCAATCCACACGATCTTGCACGAGTCAAGGTAAGGAGGAAGAGGGAACTTCTGCTCTTCCCCTGTCATGGGGGGTGGGGAGGTCTGACTCTGTGATCAGGGAACATGCTTCCCCGGAGGGCCACAGATCACCTCCTTAACTCCAAATGAGATAAATTGGACAACACTAACCTCAGCACTGCCCTTGCATTGGCCCCAGGACCTCGTACTCTGGCACTTGCCGGGCCACCTATGAGTACTCTGTACTTAATCTTAATGTAAAACTCATTTTGTTGATGTTCTCAATATCATCCACTCACAAAGGAAGCAAATCTATTGGGCAGCCTTAAGAGTCATATAAACAGCATAATAATCAAGTAATTCCCATATTGAATATTTAAGTTGCACTCAATGCAGCTGCAACACCTATTAATTACATCTGAAGGAAACACTAAAATGTAAAATAAAATGTTATTGTGCCATAAAGCATTTTGAGCTTCCTTTCTCCTCACCAAAGACTCCACGTACAAAAGTAAACTTGCAGGTATCCAATATCACTTAGTTCTGGGCTACTCCTTTCTAGTGGAGTCTGCTCATTTAGAATCTTCCTAAAGCTCCCCTGAGGCCTAGCAGGGAAAGGACATGGTAAAGTGGTGTCTTCTACTTGATTCACTTGATTCACTTGATACAGATTTTTGTGAACATGTTCAGTATCTGCGGGCAAGTGGGTATGCGTTGACACAATGAATGCGCACGGAAGTCTAGATGTTAACTGTGGTCCCCAGAGGCTGCTATACATAACACAATTGGAAAACATGAATAATCCAGGAGGATTTGTGTAAATTCCTTGCATTATTAAGGAAATCTAGAGAAAATTTTTGACATACCACTGAGACCATGCCCTCTCACCAGATGCGGGAGTAATCTAGAAGGTACAACATACCGAGTCGGATAGATTGCAGATTGGAGCTAGCATGAGAATTGCCACGCTTGCATAGGCTGCTTCATCTTAATATTATCCAGACATGACCCAAGTTATGCTGAATGCAAAAATCTCATGAGAATGGGGCAAATATTGATTTTTCATGGACCTATTTGAAATGCAAGCAGTTATTAGTGCATCAAACTCATGATTCCCGCTAATGTATTTGGTACAGGGTCTCACTATGCAGCTTGGATTCATAGTGAACCTCCTGTTTTCAGCTTCCCCAGTTCTGGATTTATAGGTGTGCATCACTATGCTGGGACTCAGCAGCTAGCTCCATACTCCCGGGGCAGGGCCGGCTCAGCATGTGCTGCTGGGATTGAACTCCAATCCCTGTGCTTGTCTAAGCAGATGCTTAGTCTGCTGAGCAAACTCCCTAGCCTGTTGGCTTCCATGTAGATAAGTCAGTAGGTTGTATTTTGAGTTTCTCTGTCACCTATTATTTCATATATGTAGATTTGTTGAGTTTTGACTCTCTAAATAATAAACACTAAACTATGCAGTACTGACATTTAAGTGAATGCTCTGAGCTGTTCTTAGTGTGCAGATATTAAAGATGGGTGAAAGGTGGAGGAAGGACTTTTGAGGAGGTTCCTAAATCTCCAGATAGCTAGCTTGGTAGTCTGAAAGACAGGGAGGTAGGCTACCAACCTCTATCTCCCGACTGGAAGAATTAGGATAATGGCACAGACAGCTGATAAAGGAAGTGGGAAAGGGACTGAAAGGCTTAATTAATTGTGTTTTAAGAAATCTGAAAATTGCACATGCAAAGGGCTATGCCAGTTGGAAAGTACATGTTACACTTTCAATGGCAACAAGGTGAAATGTTTATCCCACAGCAAGCACTTACAACCTACACTTTTAACGAAAACTACAGTCTTCCAGGATTTTTCTTTTCTTGTAAAACACCAAGCTCCCATAAGAGGTGTCTACAAAGAGCGATTGCAGTTGAGCTTGGCTATTTATATGTTTGTGTTCTGTGATCTTTTCCTTTTCGTGTCTCTCAGATAGAGTCGGCAGATGCGTGCCTCATTCTTGCCAACAAGTACTGCGCTGACCCAGATGCTGAAGATGCCTCCAACATCATGAGGTAATTCTGGCATGGCGGTTCAGGGGCAGGCCCTGGGCTGGGTCCTTGCGGTTCACTTATGGCCCTTTTTGGTCCATAGAGGGTTGTTTGGAAAGGATCTTCTTTCTCCCATGAGCCACCCCACAACTGTCCCCCTGCACGGATTTGGGGAAGCTGTGGCCGTGGTGGGTAACCCTGAAGCAGGAAGCTCAGCCCTAGCGGATGGCATTTGCGGGAGCTCAAAGTTGGCCTGGAGTGTGAGATTCCTTCAGTCAGAGAATGCTGGCTAGACAATAGATTTAGATGGGTACCGGCCTAAATGAAAATACTGTGTTCTCTCAGAGAAAGGGCACCAGAGATACCTTTGGTGAGTTTGATCCCCCCACCCCAGGGGACATTTGCAATCCTTGGAGAAGGTTTTAGTTGACATAACCAGGTGGATGATCTTGCTGTCATAGTCTAGGAGGCAGAGGCCGGGGATGCTGTTAGACATCCTACAACATACAGGACAGCCTCTGTGTGGAGAATTATGTGGCCCTGAACACCAAAAGTGCTGAGACAGAGGAGCCTTTTGTTAGAGCCCTTTGGGTGTGAGGGAAGAAGACTGATTAGTGTCACCCCAAAGACAAGGGGACAGACCCATCGGCAAGTTTATACCACTTTCCTGAACTCTGTGTTCTTCTTGCAAATCATTTTGAGTGATGCTAATACTAATCTGCATCTCTGAAGTAATGTAGTATGGTGTATTTTCTAAACCTACTTGACTACAAGCCCCTGAATCTTTTTATCCTTTTTAAAACATCTTCTGGGTAAGGAGATTCTGCCACTCACCGCTAGTACATTTCTTTACATGGGGACTGGCCCGGCAGAATGCTCATTTTGGCCCCAACTTCAACGGCTTATTTCTTTATTATTGCAGAAGAAAATTTGCTCACTGTTTGTTCTTTTCATAAGCTCACTGTCACCTCCTGGGGGCAGTGCAGTGACTAGAACGCTGCAGACATTGTGCTCCAGGTAGTTAAAGCCCCTTTTTGGAACATGTCTCTTTCCTTCCATAAATTGCAGGATAATTGTTTGAGCTGGGAAAGATCAAGAAAGAGGATCTTCTGGAGAGGGGATGCACTCGGAGTAAACGTTTCACTCCCGCTGTATTCCCAGGAACTTGTACTTAATTGTGAACAGCCATCCCTAGGTCAGGACAAAAACTTCCCCTCTGCGTACAGCTCGCCTTACTGTACCCTGGGAATTTACTTGGAGGTGAAGGTTGGGAGGTTGCTTTTGTGTCATTACAAAGCTTGCAGCTCCTTTGTCCTTGCTTTTAATCAGTGGCCCCAAGTGACAGGAGATTTCCCATCAGTGATGCAGAGGAATTCCTCCTCTGGTGCATCTGGGATGAGTGAGTCCTCCCAGCAGCATCTGGTCCTTGTGTCTGGCAGCAACACCTGGCACCATCTCCTCTTTCCACTCACTTTTCTTTGGCAATGCACTCAGTGTAGGCATTTTAAGGAAGTCAGTGTTTGAACTCCTGTAAATCTTGGGCCTGCCAGGCTGCAGAGAGGGTGGAGTAGGGGCAGACTTCGTTACACCCTGGCCCATCCCCTGACTGGTGTGTCTCTAGTCCCTTTTTAAAATAAGTAGTGCTCCCATCATTTCACATGCTTTTCTGTCATTTGGAGTGATTATAACATAGCCTTTATGGAACAAGGCTTTGCTATCTAGGAGACTTCAACAAAAACCTAGAGGATGAAGCTTAAAATTTTAACCCCACAGAAAAGTTTGGGTCTGGCAATTCCCCTCACCTCCCCATCCCCCAAAGAAACCCCCTGAATACTAGAAATGTATAATAGCTTTAGAATGGGCGTTTCTCTTTATCCGATATTTTAGCCCAACCCTGACAATGGTAGGGTTAATGTGAACACACCTGCATACTGTAGTGGATGGCAGGATGCCAGGATGAGCTCCAGGGTGGTATCACAGATGCCATTAAGCCGCCCATGAACTAGAGCCAGAAAGAAAGCTCAAAAGGACATGGGAAGCTCAGGGTTAAAAAAGGGCTCCGTGTTTCTCTTATTTGTATAATCCTCCTTCCTCCTTAGTTTAATGAGACCAATCTGCCCCCTTTTGAAATTAAAATGTCAAAGATCTATTTGAAATGAGCTAATGCAGAAAACTGGCTGATGCTGTGAACTGCACTGAGAGGCTGACAGAGACTCCAAGTCCTTGAGTCGTATGCGTGGCGCAATGCAAGCCTTTTTCAAAAATAAAATGAAATCCTTCAAGTGCGAAAGCCCAGGGTGGATTTGTGCAGGGAGAGGCTTTCATGCAATGCATTTCCTGAATTCACAAGTTGCAGCTTTTTAGATAAAGCCGCTCCTGGGTTGCCTTCTCCCCATCTTTGCAGAAAAGGGGGTAAATTAGGAGAGCACTGCTTGGTGGGGAGTTTGTGGGGGTAGGAGGGTCATGATAAATGCACTAGCATTTCTGATTAGGCTTAGGATGTGGGCCTTTCTGTGGAATTCCATTCTTTAGCCTTCCTCGTCACAGAAGGAAATGTACAATGTCACCTCTGACAGGGTCGGTAATGACAAAAACCATAAGTTACACGTGGAGAGAGTTTTTAATGATTTCAAAGCATTTTCACATCTGGTCTCCCATTTGCTCCTCATACCAAGCCTATGAAGTAAATAAAGCAGGTACTGTGGCCCCCAGTGTCCAGATGAGGAAACGGGAACAGAGAGCCTGGTGATTTCCTGAAGGTCACCAAGTTCATTAGTGCAGTGGAGGAACTGGAAGCCAGGTGTTTCCATGCTCCTGCTCGGCTCCTCCTCTTTGCACCTTGTGACTGGCAGGAGTGCCAGCCGGGACTGGGGCAGTGGGTGGGAGTTTTCTGCCAGATCTTGACCTCTGTAGGGTATTGACATCTATCGTGAGCTAGTGTTCAAGTCATCATGTGCACTCTCTTAACGGTGGAAATCCTTGCTCTTCTTCCAAGTGCCCTATTTACAAATCACATTCCTGAGAGTGGTCAAGTGTGTGTAACAGTTACAACCATTTGTCAGGTGGCTTGTTTGATTTGTCATTGTTGTTTCAAGTTGTTAACTTGCAGGACTGGACTTGGAGCAGATTACTCCTTGGCTGGTCCCTAGATTGTGGGAGGCTGCATGCCTCAGAGGACCCATGACTTGCTCTTGATTTAGACGACCGTGTAGGCAGTGACCCTGTTCTAGAAGAGCTGTCTTCAGTCCACAGGGGGACACATCCTGTCCCTGACACCTTACAGGATCTCTTATGTTCTTTATGCCCAGAACACACACCTCGGCTACCTTGCGAATTCTTTTTCACATTTCTGAGAAAAAAAGGTAGTGGGAACTGTTTCTCTTGGCCCCTAGCTTATAGCTCCTCAGGGAGGTCTGGCTGGTGCACCCCCTTCCTTATGCCCCACTTAGTAGTAATCTACTGATTATCAGCCTCCAGGGATGAGATAGGCCCTGCCTCAGCTGTGGCTCTCTCTTTTGCAGAGTAATCTCCATAAAGAACTACCATCCGAAGATCAGGATCATCACTCAGATGCTGCAGTATCACAACAAGGTAGGACCTTGGGAGTGCTGCCTGCCTGAGGCCACTGCAAGGGTCAGTTCCAGTCTCCCCTACCTCACCCTATCCCCTCACCCCCAACACACTCCCACACACACGTTCGTGTACACCTACATGTACCAGTGCTGTGCAGAGTCCCGGGTAAAGACTCAGTAGTTAACCATCTCCATGGGACATTTCTTCAGGCTAAGCAGCTTGTTTGCAGCGGGTCACTGGAGGGAAGTCCCTTCATGTACTGAAGCGTTTACTCAGGAGCATCTATTGTACCCGCTGGTTTAGAAATATTGATGTATCCTTGGATCCCAGCAGCTTGCAGTTCTGCGTGCTGCAGGCATTCCTGCAGTCAATATTTATTGAACACCCACTCTGCCATCAGAACTCTTTCTGACACCCGGGGATGTCTATGGGGGAGAAGCTCATTCGGTGCCCTCGTGGATTTAACATTTAAAGTGCACTGAGTGCCCCCAGCAAGAGAGGTGGGATGTCTCTGAAGCTGGGTGAATATGGGGGCATGGTGGACACCGGCAGAGAGGGTTGGACATGACGTTCTGAAATTCAAGATCAGAAATTGCACGGTCACCTCCAGGAACATAGTTGGCTATGCAGAAGCTAAATATACAGGAATGTTCCTGGTGTTATAGCTTACACAAATTGGAAAAAAAGCAAATGTCAGTGTCTATGTGGTTTCACTATGATTGCCTTTCAGTAAACCAGAGTTGAAAGTCCCTCATCCAAAGGCAATTTTCTGTTACTCAGCCTGTTAGTTAACTCCCAAGAAGACAGCTTTGGGGGAGGGAAGGTGGCACCTTGCTCTATGCGCTATGGTACCAGTTAACTCCTTAATGAAGCTTTGAAGCTGGAGGTTGCTCAGTGTCTGGGGCCAGGTGTCCTGTCTGAGCAGAATAACTCCCTGCTGGGCTGTGAGTGAGACTGGGCCCCATCTTCTAGGCCATCTTCCCTATGAAATAGGCTATCAGGTGACTGAGAGGGAAGCCCAGGCTGCCAAATACACCCATGCCATGCCATTATTTCTTAATTGCTGGCAAGTACTGGCCCATTTTGCTGTGTGTGGGCCCATCAGAGGCTTCTGCGAACTGGAGCCTGCTGTCTGTGACCGGCCCACCGCTCAGAGTGGATGCCTGATGCCAAGCCCTGGGCAGGTGGCTGCAGTGCAGATGGTGTCCCTCTCCAGGCAGTGCATTTGGTGGTGGATGCCCCAGGTTACATTCTCCTGGTCATCTCTGGAAAAGTCAAGGTTACTGAAGAGATCCAGTGAGGGTTGTCGTAGGCATGAATTTACAGTGGTTTTCGGAGGGCAGCCCCTGTAGGTGGAGGTGAATCTGATGAGCAAGGTAGAGAGGGGTGACAGCACCTGCCATGAGGAACGCTCCTTCTTTCCTTTGTGATTTGACATTTCACTTAGTGTAGGAGTACTTTAAGCTTTTGTTTAGATTTTTTGGCTGAATTTAGACTGAATAGGCAAATTAGTATTGTATGTTTAGGAAGAGATGTCATGTCCTTTTCTCTTTCTAATGGATGCTTCTGTACCATCTTTAAGAAATTAAGGAGGATTTCAGCTGCATAGTTCTTGTCAAACCCAAAGCCATTCAACTAGTCTAAGATCCAGGAGTCCTCGACTAATAATTACCTGAATGTTCTTAAAATTTTTTGCCCTGTGCTTATTCTGAAACAGTGATAAAGACATCAGTGGACCTGTCTAGCGGCCTTTTGCTCAGAAAGGTTTCAGAGTCATCTCAATCTGGTTTCAGAGTCATTTAAAACCCTAAAAGCTAATAAGGACATAGAATGGGGTGACTACATTAAGGACAGTTTTCTGTGATTTTTGCTTCTGTTTTAGGGAAAGAATGAAAAGTTTAGTTGTCCCTTGTCATGTCATTACGTGTAGATTCCAAACTGAGAGTCATTACTCTGCTTCCTAGTTGTGCTCTCTCCTAATGTGCTTCCACTCATCCTTTCTGCATGTTTTTCTTCTTCTTTTTCAATCTATGTTTCCTCCTCACTTGACCCTTTTTCTGCACCCACTCAAATGGCCACAGATCTTTATGCACTCAGCATTGCGTTCACGGAAGACCTAAGGAGCATGTGAAAACTATGACATCTCGAATATATTCCCTGTGTCTGTTGATTCCATAGTTGGTCACCAGCCTTGAAATATAAAGATTCTCAATCCACTGTGACCACGTGGAGATGATATTCCAGAAACTAGAAGATAACAAGGAAACTACTTTTTCCTCCATGTAGAGCTAGTCCTGCATCTGTTGTCATAATAACTACAGATGTTTATGACTTATTTTTTTGGTTTTAAAGGAGTCTTACACCCATTGTCTCAATTAGTTTGGTTGGGACCACCTGCTTATTTAACATTCCTTGTAACTTCAGACCAAGGGGTCTAAGATCTCTTACAGAGAGCCAGTCAGTCAGAAAGCTTGAAGACAAAATAGCCCATGGCCACCTTCTCTTGAGGTTGAGCCACAGCCTACTGAACCAAGTTATGGTTCCTGAGGGTAAGATTCTAGAAGGCCTGGTGCTGTCACTGGAGCTCTTTAATACTTCTCAGTTTTGTGTAGAGAAGCATGTTCAGTCTGGCCATCTGTGAATGCAGATTTCTAAATGTGAAGGGTAAAGCTCTTCAAGGAAAGGATCATTTAGATGTCTTAGAAAAGTGTCCTTCCTGACGATTTACCTATTCATGGCTTTCTTATCTTCCCATGAGGCCTTTGTCTCTGAGCAGGAAGCCAAGTCCCGATGTTCTTCTGTAGATGCACATTCTATGAGCTTTCTCAACAGGAGGAATAGGCCCCATTCCTTTGGGCCTCTGGTCAGGGAGCACGTACTGTATATAGTGGAACAAAACCTCTTGTCTCATGGCCAGGAAGTGAAAAGAGAGGAGACAGTGCATACCCCCAAGGTCCTAAAGACCTCTTATTAGCCACTACCACCCCAAGGTCCTACCACCTCCTAATGGCACTAACCTGGAGACCATGATTTTAATATACAGGTTTTGTGTGTGGGGGGGACATTCATGATATAAACTATGGCAGTGGTACTCTCCCCTCTTCATTGGCCTCTTTGTTCATCATGGTGCCACCTTTGGTTGTATAGGCAATGAGAAATCAAACCAGGACTGGGATTCATGGTTTCCCAAGAAAGCCAATTTTTACTCTCCTTTTCCAGGAGGTAGTTCGGTAGCAAAAATGGACAGTCCTGGGCCAGCTAAGTCTGCTCTTTTTCTTCTCTAAATGAGAGAGGATTTGCCTCCAGGCTCTTGTGTAATGCTAGCATTTTCTACCAGACCCAAATTCTCTCAAATGAAGGAGGGCAAAGTTGCCAGAAACGAAGACTTGGAGTCCCTGGGTCTTTCTCCTCTGTTTCATGCCTATAGACCGCCACCCGGTCTTTGGCCCATGAGCCTCACATCCTGCCCCATGATTGATGAGATTATGTTGGCCAGGAAAGAGGGCTATGGGAGCCTGAAACAAACTTGACTTTTCTGCATAATAACATGTAAAATATGTCTGCAGAACACAAACCAGATGGAGGTACAAAGGACCAATGCTGAAATGCCTGGGCTTCATACCCAGGATGAGGGGCTTTCTGGAAAAGGTTTTGCTTGTTATTTTTAAAGGTGGTATGGAGGTTACATTGTGTCTCCCTCAGGCTTGGACCACCCAAATCTCTTGTCTCACACAAATTCATTATTTAGAGGTAATCCCTCCTTATTCTTCTCAGATGATATTAGTGTAAATGAATATTTCTCCACTTTAATTAATGAATTCTCTATAGTGCCAGGGAGGTAGAGAAGAAAAGCTGCCTTCCTAAGCCAGTGAAGAGTGGGGAGGGAAGTGCGACAAAAGAAAGGCCAATTGTTGGAATTGAGTGTACAGTTTGGGGAAGGTCTCCTGGCACTCAGCATGACAGAAATCATCATATGCTGTAGCCCACACACAGGACTGATGGAACCATGCTGTTACGAGGGAGGACACTGTCATCTTTCCCAGGAGTAAAAACTCTTGGCTTGGGACTGTCAAGATTGTCACAGAAGTGGATTTTGCAAGAAGGAAATTTCACAAGAGTTTTATTTCTGTAAGCAATGCCTGGGGCCCTTGGCCTTGGTCTAAGTCTCTACAATAGAACCTTTCATCCTTCAAGTATAGCTTTGTAGATTGTCCGAAAGTGAAAAGAAGCCTCCTTTGGTGATCCTTGTGTTGGTTGATGTGGGAGTGAAATAAGTTCAGAGCCATAACATTTTGGCACATGCAGGGACCCAGAAGGGCTCTCTGATTCAACTCCCCATGCAAATCTTGAGCTGCTGTTTTCTTTTTTCCACAGAAACTCTGAGAAATACTAAATTGGAGGGACAGTGACCTTGAGTCTTTCATGGTGGCCTCCTTCATGTATTAGACAAATTATAGCCTTAGAGTATTTCTTTACAAAACATGCCCAAATCCGCTTTCCTATAATATGTACCAGTCAGTCTTAATTCTGGCTCCAGAGCAACACAAGACAAACCTCTTCTCAGTGCGGCAACACTGGAGGCGTCCGGGTGTGACTGTCCTGGTTCCTTCTTCTGGCCAGACCTTCCTGGCTCATTAATGGTTCCTCCAGAGCGCTTTCCCAGAATGCACCTCTTATCTTGGTCATTTTTCTCAGGAAGTTATTGATCATTTTCCTTCTTTAAATCTGACTGTTAAAACTGGGGATCAAGTTCTTTGCACCTCATCCGACCCATTCACAACAGAGTGAAATGTTCATTTGTCTTGCCCTGGAGGCTGCTCCTAAGCAGCAGACACTGGCTTTCTCTGTCATGTGTCACATGGCCTCTACTTGAGGTTTTAATTACCCTTAAATTTTGCCCTGTGTTGTGTGTGTTTCTCTCATTTCTCCTGCCAAGTTAGAGATCTCCTCATTTCAAATTTATATAATAGATACTTTTGAACCTAAATGCTGTACTTGATGTGAAAGCCTTGTAAATCTTTCATTTTCTGTTTTTTAATTACTGATGTTTTCCAACTGTGGAGGACTTTTGGATTTTACTGTTTTCATTCAATATATTATCTCCATTGCTTCCAGCCTTCGAAAAATAATTGCATGAATATGTCTTCATGTCCTTGTCTCATGGTGGGACCTAATTGTATAATAGAAGTAGTCCATCCGCAGGGAGTGTTAAGACATTTACACTCTTTTAATTGGTGATTTAGGGCAGTGGTTCTCAAAGGATAGATTAGATTAGCCTCAGATTAGCAGCATCGACATCACGTTCTATAGATTAGAAATGCAAATCTTGCAAACCTACCCTGGATGTACTGATTAGAAACCCTGGAAGATAGATCTCGCGGCACATTCTCACAAACCCTGCAAGTGGTTGTAACGGCTACTCAAGTTTAAGACTCGCTGATCTAGATTATTGGGATTGCAGGCAAAAGAGACATTGAGAATCCACAGACACTTGGCAGACTTCTGGTCTGCGAGGAGCCAGGTTTGGAGCAACCTCTCCAGACATTCTCAGAACAAGGGCTAATGTGTCTTTCACAAGAGAACCTTTCTTCTGGGCCCTATTTGGCTATAAGACTAAACCTGAGGCGAGGACTTGGGCTTGGTAAGTGCAGAAGCAAGGCTGCAAAGAGTGGAAGTGTGATTCACAGAGGTGGAGAACAGAGCACTAAACCTCAGACACAAGCAAAGGGGGAAAAAAAAAGCTTGAGTCTGATTGACCTTGAGCACTCGGACACTGCTTGGTTTCCTGGCAAGATTTTGAATAATGGAATGTGTAACAAAGCAAGGCCTCATACCTGTTTCTGTTTCTACAGGCCCATCTGCTAAACATCCCAAGCTGGAATTGGAAAGAGGGTGATGATGCAATCTGCCTCGCGGAGCTCAAGTTGGGCTTCATAGCCCAGAGCTGCCTGGCTCAAGGCCTCTCCACGATGCTCGCCAACCTCTTCTCCATGAGGTCATTCATCAAGGTAGCGTCTCGTCTTATTAGAGTGCATTAGCTCAGGGTTCCATTTGTCACGGGGTTGAGTAGAGAGCACAGCTTAAACTCAAACCAGATCGACAGGCTTTAACCACTTTGGTTAAGGAGGAATTCCTTGGTACAGATTTGGGCTTGAGGCCAGCTCCTTTCAAAATTATGTTTTTATTTTTATTTGGCACATCCAGGGCCATTAAATGATTGTTCAAAGCACAATCCTCTCTCTTTTTTTTGACAAACCACATGTTTATCTATCAACAAAGCCTCCGCTGTTAAAACAAAAATATGATTTATATACATTCCATATGGTACCAGAGCGCCTAAAGAAAAGAATTATCATTTTGCTCTTTTATATCAAGTGGCTGGTGGACCTCTCACTGTGTGGATAAATGCAGACCATGTGTTTGTGCCGGAGCCCAAACCCTAACAACATAATTCATTTATTTATTTCTGCACAATCAAGGAGGCCAACAAGGCTGACATGCCATGGCTATTTGAATGGAGAATGACAGAATGAACTGAGTCTGTTACCCTGGGAACTGGGCATTCTGGATGTGTTCGTGTCCTCGTCAGCTGCTACCCCGCGGACCTGACTGGGCAGCCACTCCATTGTCCCCAAAGTGGCCACTATCTGTTGGGCCAACTCAAGCAAAGAGAATAGAGCAGCTCTACCCTCATAGGGCAGTTCTAATTAGGCATTTCAGGGATTTGGATTGAGGACCAGGCCTCTACTAAGAAGGCTTCTGGAGTATGAGACAATAATAACTCTAGTTCTTGTCTCTAGGGTGCTTTTAACTTAGTCGAAGTGGCAAACTTGCCTGGTTTAGGCGTTTCTTATTGACTGCTTGCCTGGTTTAGGCCTTTTTTATTGGACACTTGCCCGGTTTAGGCCTTTCCTACTGGATGCTTACCTGGTTTAGGCCTTTTTTATTGGATGCTTACCTGGTTTAGGCCTTTCTTATTGGACGCTTACCTGGCTTAGGCCTTTCTTATTGGACGCTTACCTGGTTTAGGCCTTTCTTATTGGACGCTGGTGTCATTTTGCTGCAGATCTAAATTTACATTCACCTTTCTGCTACATAGCCAGCTGAATTAATTGTATTCAAGGTGGATGCTGATGGAGTGGAGGAAGTGGTCTTGGCTGTGGTCAGGAGGTACCTTAGGAAGCAGGAGGCGAGCAGGCGATGCAGGCGCCCTGTGCTCAACCTGGGCATGTGTGACCTGTCACTTAGAGCAAGAATTTTTTCTCAGTCCTTCTACTCTACCCTTACCTAATTGACAGCATCTAGCCCATGGATGGATAATGTGCCTCTACCAGAAGGATAAGTTGTGTTGAAGCGCCTTCGGTACTCACGGTAATTGATACCTTGATTTAAGTTTCTTTCTTTCTTGTGCTTGTAACGTAGTCAGACCTCAGCTCAACTGAAATCTGAGCTCAGACCCCACTTGCAAATAAGGACGCTGCTTTCCTTTCAGTATCTTCTTTAAGCCAGGCTGCTTTTGTCTTGCATGGATGAAACCGAATGCAGGCAGAATGTAAGCAGCTGGGAGGTCCGTGTGGCTCTATTTAGAGACAGGCTCCCACAGCCAGATGTAGCACGTGTCTCTCAAGACTCTTGGTGCAAGCAGTCCAGAGCCAGGATAAAGGACTGTCACCACAAGAACTCCTCTGGCTCTCTTATCCAAGCTTCCAGCGGGAGGTGGCTCTCAGGACCAAGCGCATGGTCTGAGGAGCCCGGCTGTGCTTCCTCATGTTGATGTGACATGGCCCTTGGCAGGGCCCCACCGCAGATGGGGCCACTTGACGTGCGTATGTTTTGATTTTGTGGTGCCTGCGTGGTAACTGGAGCTGGCTGTCAAGGAGATTAATAAAGTGGATGTGACATTGATTCTTCAGTGCTCTTACCAGCAGAGAGAACTTCTGCCCAGCTTCCTCAGGACCCTGATGGGCCTCACCTCTGAAGCCAAGGACGTCCCCTCCAGCTTTGCTAATCCCATTGCCAAGTTCCTGTTTAGGAAGAGCCTGTGGGAGAGGCTGGACCCGGCGCTGGTGTAACTGAAAACACATTTCCCTCCCACGGTTCTGTTACTGCACTGTGGCTGCCCAGGGCCAACTCTCCATGTTTGGAAGTAGCTCTCTGAATGTGGCCTTTTGACACTGAGGTGGTCCTTGTGTTGGAGCTTGCTAAGGTATGCGATCTGCAAGTAATAAGCTTTCTCTTCAGGTTTGTTTTTCTCTTTAGACTGAGGTCAGGCTTATTCAGGTATCGCCCATTCTATACTACCATCTTTGTGGAGCATCTTATGCTCCGAGTCCCAGATCCTTGTCTCTTTCAGGTCATGGCAAACACCAGTGTGATGTTTCTCTTGGTGTGTTTTATATATGATCTTCTATTCCAGAGATCACAAAGCCCTTACTTGCTTTTGGTGGCGCTCGGTAGAGAAAGAAGCCTGTAAATGGATTATTGCTTATAGAAATCACTTCCTTTATTGACCACATCTCCCATGGTAGAGAATTTGTCAGACAGGATTATTAGCATGGAGTAGAAGGAGGCAAGTTTTAGCAGGGTTTGGTCCTCCGGAAACACTTCACATTTCTAGAAGCCAAAGGTAAAGTGTGAGCCTCCCTTCTCTATTGCCCTGGCAAGACAGTGGCTATTTCTTGGTTCTTCAGGATATATCCTAATCCACCTTTTCTCAGAGAAGAAGGACAAGAGGGACTGTGACAGGGAAGGTATCTCACAGGCAGAACACAGTGGTTGTGTACTGAGCTTTTTATTATTCCCGGGACCAAAAGCTAAGACCAAAAGAGGACGATACAGAGGGAGGGACTCTGCCATATAGGAATTACAAAAGAAGTCCAGCCAAGAGGTGTTAAGAAATATAGGAGAAATGTTTTTGTGAACTGTCCACTAACTTTGTTCTCAGAGATTCTAACCCTAGGGTCCCAAGTCATTGCACCCCAGAACCGACTTTTCATGTTGTTATCTCTGAGTTGTTCTAAACACTTTGAGAGTTGGTTTATATTTTAGCCCCCTCTTTATGAGTAATGAATTCTTTAAGTTTGGTAGCTATTCCTAAAGAGGTTTTCTTCCTGGCTGTTTATCCTTAATTTACTCCATTCAAACTTCAACGAATGCCTTGTGTTGTTTCTGATATGCTGGGACTTACAAACCTATGCCAACTTCCTATCCAGTACCTTTAGGAAAGAGGCTGGGGTTGGTAACCCAGGAGTTCTGCAGCTCAGTAGCTTCTGTTTGTGACAGCAGAGCACCTTGAGTACCTTTGAGGAGAGGAGACAAATGTCCTGGTACCTTGTCTTAATGACATTCTCAGTAGTCCTGGGACATCCTGTTTATTCTCCTCTCTCTGACCTCCTTCCAGTGGCCTCTCGGGTTCCAGTGAGCATCTCCCTAATGCCTTCTTGAAAGACCAAGGCCAAGACCTGATTTGGCCTGGCTTATATCACCCCATCCCCGAATAAGTGGTCACTTGTTCCCCTCTGTTGGCCTCCTCACTTGGATATAATGTACAATCAGTGATTTTCTTATTTTTGTTTTACAGTTTTACTATGTCTACTTGACTTTCTCTTTAGCATAGGGGGTTTCCAGTTTGGTCTTAACCTGCCATTTTTTATGAATGGTGCTATTATTCCACTAGCATGAGTCATCTTTGGACATAATAAATTGTGTGTGTGTGTGTGTGTATGTGTGTCACTGTGAGAGTGATTTACTCTTAAAATTGCTTTTTATTCTACTTAGAAACTTCTAATTAGTACATTTAGATAGCTCTCAGAATTTCCAACTATTGTTGGCACATGCAGCTAATCTATCATTTTATGAACATAGGCATGCCTATGCATGCACATACAACTTGGAATATGGCGTGCCCTCCATAATTATTTTTGCTAAGTCAGTCATTAGAATGTAGAAAATATGTGATGTCTTTCATATGTTTTCCTCTTGTTCCACAAAATTTGGGAATTGTGGGTAAAAGCTTACTTGATATCAATCACAACAGCTTTCTCCATCACATTTTCTTTCTTTCTTTCTTTCTTTCTTTCTTTCTTTCTTTCTTTCTTTCTTTCTTTTTGTACTTGGGATCAAACTCAGGACCTTGTGCTTGCCAGGAAGGTGCTTATATTGCTGTGCTATCTCCTTGGCCCTACTTTTTCTACTTTTGAGTGAAAAAGCACTAGAAAACTCTGGCCTGTGCTGTGTAGGTTATCTGTTGGCAAAAGTAGGATGGACGCATAGGCTATTTGTTCAGTGTTGCTGTTACCATACTGAGATAAACTCTTTGTAGTGCATAGTCTTAGCACTAACCATAGCCAAGGGAATATGTTTGATACCTTGAGTTTTGGTTTATGCACTTAGGTTCATTTCTGTATATGCCTGTAAAAATAATCCGATTTAGGATCTAAACAATAAATCAAGATTCTTTCATAATTGCTAAAATATACTGAATCCTTTACTTAGCGTTAAATGTCTATGATTTCATTGAATTCCTATAATGACTCTGAGCAAATACTACCTTCACCTTACAGTGGCAGTTGCCATGAATTAAAAAGTAACCCATGTGAGGACATAGAGCTTGGAAATGTCAAGTTAAAGTGTTTAAACCTGAGTGTTCCAGGTTTCTCCTGAGTGAATGATGAGAGAAATCCTAGCACAGGCCTTAGTTTTCTGGCACTCATCTTAGGGCAGTTGATTCAGTAGAGATTTCATGAGCACCAACTATTTGCCAACAATGCTTGCTCATTCCATCATCTTTACAGGGCAGAGGCGCTGATAAGCTTCAGGAAAGTTCCAATCTGACTGGGCCGTGTGGGCACAGGCCCAGATTGTGGGTCTTGTTCACCTTTCTCTCTTGTCCTGAAACAGCAGAGGTCTCTGCATTAAGATAGGCAGTGGGTTAGCTTAGCTGAGCTGAGACAGGATAAGGACTGAACTAGGTCCCAAGAAGGGGGGGTGGTATTTGCTGTTATGCACT